GGCATTCCCAGACAATTTTTGGGCATTCCCAGGCAATTTTCAGGCATTCCCAGGCAATTTTCGGGCATTCCCAGACAATTTTTGGGGCATTCCCGGGTAATCCAGGGCAGGAAAAGCCGAGGCTCAGGGAAAATTGGGAGCTCCAAGGGTTTGGTGGGAAGGAGCAAGGCCGGGATCCGGGATCCGGGCTCAGTGTGATCCAACAGCACCACGCAGTGGGAAGGGCCTGGAATGGCCGTGGGGTGGGAGAACAAATCCCTGGGGATGCTCCCGGGGCCCTTCCCGGTTCGGGAAGGGGCAGATCCACGAGGAATCCCGGGGGTTTAACGCTCCTTAGGGAGAGTTATCCCGGCTCCAGGGGGGGGGTTCCTGCCCATCCCGCTTTTCCTCAATCCCGGGATGGAGGGGGGGAGCTCTGGGAGGTCTCAGGGATTTGGGGAACCCCCCAGATCCGGGGGATTTTCCAAGGAATCCTCACCTTGGCCTTGCCCTTCCCTCTCCTCTTCGGCGTGTCCTCCTCGTAATCCTCGTCGTCCAAGTCGTCCAGGAAATCATCCGGCTCCAGGATCCGCTGGGACAGAGGGATGGGGGTTATTCCCATTTATTCCCACCAAATCCCACCCAGGGATTGAGGGAAAAGTGGGAAAAGCACCGGGCAGGGAGGTGGGTCAGGGGAGAGCAGATCCCATTCCAAGGGCTTCGGGAAGGAGGAAGAGGAAGGATGGGAGGTTTTTGTGGGATCTGGGAGGGCTCATCCCCAAAAAAAAGCCATGGAAGGGCTCCACAGGGTGGGAAAACCACGGGATAGGAACAACAACCAAGGAAAAGGGAAACAAGAAACGAGGTTGGGAAAAGATTCCGGGCTGGAAGTGCTGTGGGAGAGCCCAAGAAGAGGAAAAAAACGTGGAATGTTGGCCAAACCCTGGGAATGTCGCACGCCCGGGGAGGGTTTCCAGGGAATTTGGGAGCCTGGGATATCTCCCCTCCTTGGAGCACTTGGATAACGAGGGAATGGGAAGAAAATCAGGGAGTCTTGGGATGGGAAGAGACTGGAATTTCCCTCTCCCTGAATTTTGGCATCAGGATCCCCTTCCCACTGAATTTTGGGACCAGAAACTCGCTGTCCCCGAGTTTTTTCCTTGGATTTTTTTTATCCCAGAAACTCCCTCTCCTCGAATTTTTTCCTCGGATTTTTTTTTTT